GGTGTCCATGTCGCTCGAGGACCGATTGCGTCTGATGAACTTTGACGACGACCGCGATACAAGCACTCCAACACAGGAGATGCAGAACAAGAAGAAGGCAGTCGAAGTTGACGTTGCAGAAGTCGACGTTACAGAGTCCGAGCTAACGCTTGACGAGCCCAAGATCCCGCGCATTTCTCGCGAGTCTATCCTCCGGCGCGTCAAGAGCCGCAACTTCGAGGACGGCGAGGACGACGATGAGGAAGAGGAAGAGTACAGCCAGTTTGAGCCAGAGTACAGCCCCGAGCGCAGCTATGGCGATCTCGCTGATCTCGACCCTGATGTTCCTATTCCGTCGCGTGAAGCTTCTTCCAACTTCGACGAGCATCCGCGTCAGGTCTCAGGTGTCTCCGCCAGCGAGGCCGACAGCGTTGTCGACGCTTACAGCTATGCCAACCCAGATCAAGGCGATCATGCCGATGACACCGATGTAGATGGCAGTTCCATCTCTCAACTCGAGGACTACGAGCGCGAGTCGTCTGTCATCCGGCACCCTATGCCCCAGGAGTCAGACGACGAAGACGATACCAGCCAGTACTCGCCTCAGCCTGAAGAGCAGCCTACTTCCCAGAGTACCATCGACTCATCAGGTCCACCAACACCCGTCGTTGCCCCCTCTTCTCCTGTCTCAGGTGAGAAGCAGGCGCCTCAGGACGAGATGTACTCTACTTTCGAAGGTAAAGATATGGATCTTAGCTTGGACCCTCTAAAGGCCTCTTTCGCGACTGTTGCCAGTCCATTGGATACCGCGCCCAAGCTGGATGCCATGCGCGACTTCCTCCGCCGCCCTGTTACTCCTGAAGCTCAAGAGACAGAGGAGGACGGTTCCGAGTCTGAGGAGCCTGGTACCCCAGACTCTGTCATTCGGCATCCAGTGGCTCTTTCCCCTCCGCCTCAGGAAAATGCACCAGAGGTTCCTCAACGGGAAGCTACAATCCGGGGTGCCGGAGGAAAGCTCAAGACTCGCCCGTCGCTCATCCCTGATGAGGTTGACATGGCAGCTACGCGTCGCCAGGTTAGTGGCCAGCATGCACCGCCAGTCCCTGAGCGCAGCCCGAAGCGCCAGTCAATGAGCCTAGAGTTGGGCCATGCCGACGAAGAAGGTCACTTCGATGACGACGATACGCAAGTGAGCATTACCACCAAGGAGAACCGCATGCTAGCTCTGAAGCTCGGTGATCTCGACCTGGGTGACGAGTCGAACGATCTTAGCTTCGGGCTAGACAAGGAGTTTGATAACATCATTGAGTCACAAAAGGTAGAGAACCTTTTCCCCATTCCCCCCTTCGCCAGATTCCCTACATCTTCCGCTGCCGTCTCCGACGCGGTCTGCCAGATGTCAGGTGAAGGCTTTGTTTATAGGCACAGTCCCGCTAACGATGCTATTCCCGAGCAGAAAGGATACTTGATGCGCGAAAACACCAAAGTCGTTGTCGCCAGTAGTCGACAGTTTAGCGACGAGAAGCCGCCTACCCCCACCGAACCCACCAGCGATGCAGCTGCCAAGCCTGTCTCTCGTAAGACGAGCGCCGAACGTAAGCCCGCCTGGACAAAGGAGCCTTGGAATGGCAAGCCTCGCAGGAAGAGCATCCGGACAGCATCCGGTCGCCGTACTCGAACCTCTGAGGGTCCTGCACCACCTCTTCCTGGCCAAGAATCTGCTGTTGCTGGTGGTCTAGACTCAGTCGCTGAACAGGGAGATGACGGTGAGCCTGAAGAGGGCGAGGAACGCGGTCTCGTGTTCGTCAAGGTCGTCGGTGTCAAGGACCTTGATCTTCCGCTACCAAAGCACGAGCGAACCCACTTCCAGTTGACACTTGACAACGGTCTGCACTGCGTTACAACGTCTTGGTTGGAGCTTGGCCAATCCGCTCCCATCGGACAAGAGTTTGAGCTTGTGGTCATGGATGATCTCGAATTCCAGCTCACACTACAGACCAAGCTGGAGCCTCCAGCCGTCCCTCAGATTGTTGCCGCGCCAGCCAAGGCCGTCAACCACAAGAAGTCGCACTCTGCCTTCCGGAACCTTCTCTCATCGCCGAAGAAGAGAAAGGAGCAGGAACGCAAAGCGCAAGAGGAAGCCGACCGCATTGCTCAACAGGAACAGCAGGAGGCTCAAGCTGCTGCCAAGCGCAATCAAAAGGCCACCGCTTGGGACCTGCTCCATGACCTCGTCGGACCTGATGGGTCTTTCGCCCGTGCCTATGTTTGCCTCAACAACCACGAGAACCAAGCATATGGCCGTCCGCTGACTGTTGACATTCCTTGCTTCAATGAGTGGGCCGTCGATAATACTGGCGCCAGCAGTGTCAAGAGCAAGCGCGGAGGTGTCGTTCGCCGCCCACCTTACCGGGTGGGCAAGCTCACTCTTCAGCTGCTATACGTCCCGAAGCCCAAGAACGCAAAGGACTCTGACATGCCCAAGAGCATGAATGCCTGCATTCGCGAGCTCAAGGAGGCTGAGCAAGTCAAGGACATCAGCTTCGAAGGTACACTGAGCCAACAGGGTGGTGACTGTCCAGTAAGTTGAAAGCCTGCAACATTATTCGTAAACATGGCTAACATTCATTGCAGTACTGGCGACGTCGTTTCTTCCGCTTGGAAGGCACGAAGCTTACGGCTTACCACGAGTCCACACGGCAGCCGCGTGCTACCATCAACCTAGCCAAAGCTTCGAAGCTCATGGATGACAAGAGCGCTCTCCAGCAACCATCCGCAACCAAGACCGGTGGTCGGCGCAAGTCCGGGTTCGCCGAGGATGAGGAGGGCTATATGTTCGTTGAAGAGGGCTTCCGCATACGGTTCGCTAACGGTGAGGTCATTGACTTTTACGCCGACAGTCGGGAACAGAAAGAGGCGTGGATGAAGGTGCTCTCGGAGACCGTTGGCAAGGACATTGCTCAAAACAAGGGCTGGGCGGCCATGGTCCTCGAGAAGGAGCGTAAGGAGAAGGCTACGCGATCGCAGATTGGTGCGCCAATCTCGCCAACCAAGTCGCATCCCATGGTCACGAGCTCACCGAGCGTTAACCGCCGGCCTTCTCATCAGCGCACTCAGTCGCACGATATACTGGGCTCTATCAAGTCCACGCCTTCAAGTCCGGTAAAGGGCCACGCCCGCACTCAATCGCACGCGCCGACTCCACCTCTTAAGGATGTTCGCATGTCGCATGCGCCGCCGCCACGGCCGCGAACGCAAGAGTCCAGCAAGCCGGGTCGCAGAGAGCAGGTTCGATCGATGATTTTCTAGTGTCTCTTTCCATCTCCATCATTGATACCAGTCACCCTCTTTCATTGATTGTTCAATTACTTACTGGCTTTTCTTTGTGTTTTAGCTTCGCCAATACTCTTCTCTCTCTCATCGACTAAGATTGGGGTTTTGGAGACGGCGACAGGGGAGGAGAAATCTGAAAGGTGCGGGTGCTGCGCATCCGTTTCCCGAGTCGAATACACCATCTCGCTGAGCTGCGGCGCTTCGGCACATTCTCGCTGTTGCATACAAAGCCGCGGAAACGTTGAAGGAGTGCTGTTGCGTCTGTTTCTTTGTATCACATCTTATCACTGTTCTTGTTACTGTCTGGTGTGGATAGGCGTTGTATTCATCTCGGCGTTGCCGGCTATGGGTTTATGATACTGCATAATGATTGATAGCGACGAGGCATGGAGTATGAGCAGTAGTTATATCAGGTGTATGAGAACATAACATGACTCCAAAGTCTACTTTTTTATATTACATGATTGTTGCTGGGTGTGCTGTGCGTGATGCGCTACGGGGATCGTGTGATTGCCGCTGCCTCCAGGGCCCTCGTCTCTACGCAGGCAGGGCATCAATAGATACAGCAACCACAGTCCCTCGCTTTGGTGCGCGTATTGTGGAGCGGCATGATTGCATTCTTCTCTATTGATCTCCCGTGTCCCAGGGCTTTCCGTCGCGCGGACGCAGCGTGATAATTTTTCCACTCAAGTATGATGATGCATTGCTCTGACAAAAACCGAAGCACTCTCATTCATACATCCGACAACGGCACCGTAAGACATACGCGCATACGTAAACCCCACTATGATCTCGAACGCTCACTCGATACTGCCCTGAAATCACTCTCATGCGTTGAGAGAATGTTGGACAATTGAGAATCTCGCCTGGCGTAAAGGCACAAACCGCGACACGACAATGAATGCTGTCGTGTAACGTGACGCGACACTCGTGTGTCCTCGTTAGAGCACAGTACAGCAAACAAATAACCGCTGGCATGTCAGCAGATGGCTCAAGCTAGCAGGTGCTGAATTAACAGTGTTAGGGAATACATCAGTCTTTACACTCCTTTCTTCACCCGCCATTATCCATTACACGTTCAAGGTCATTAGTGGAGAAGATCAGATTGAGATGAAATCGATATAGAAGGCAAAAGTATCACTCGGTGTAGAAAGCAGAAGAACGACGACGATCAAGACAATATACCCAGGTAGGCTCATCGAAGAGAGTCTTCTTTTATAGCACAGCACAACGGTCTGCTGCATTGGTCCGTACAACGCGACCGATATGGGTGCATCGCATTCTACGCCTCCACCACTCGTTGAAGTCAACGCTCCAGGAGGCAAAGTCTTGGTTCCACCTGGTAATCCTCCATCTCTTCCTGCCACCTACCACGGGTCCTAATATACCTTGAAACTTACGGTACTGACGGGCTGTCTATAGGTACAGCATTCACCGTCCACCCACCTTCCTACGCACGATCACGATCAGAGCCGTACACACGCGGTCCCGTCTACACACCCTGTTCACCAGGCAGGCGAGCACGCCTAAGACCAAGACCTCACTACGGAGGAGGGCGAGATCTCGATATCTTGGAAGACAGTGAGGAGAGCGAAAGTACGTCACTCGACATGATGGAGGGAATAGGCCCAAGGGGTATGCGACGACAACCCTCCAACGAATACCCAGGTAACATGATGGGAGGTCGCATGCCAGGAGTGGGCCGAAGAGGTGGACCAGGAGGGCTTTTCGACGGAATGGACGCAAGACCTAGGTCTGCGCCTGAAATGCAGGTAGGTGGCTATCCTGGCATGATGGGCGGTATGCCGATGGGCATGCCCGGGAGTCCGGGGCTAGGTGGCATGAGAGGTTTAGGGGGATTGGGCGGTGGCATGGGGCCTACTGGAGCGGGCGGAATGGGAGTTAGACCGCCATCTGGCATGCCGCCGGAATACACGTCCAATCCACCAATGCCTCCTCGCTTTGGTGCTGGCGGAGGTGTGTCGGGGCCAGGCATGAACCCGTACACAAACCACCCGGGACCACCATCCAGCCAGTCATCGAGTAGCGTTCCTGATCCACCTCAGGCGACGCGACGACACTCCGGCAGACGGCCAAGACACTACGAACACATCCCCATGGGCGCGTATGCCAACGCCGAGAAGTCACGGCGGCCTCGGGCGGAGCCGCAAACGTCAGCCCGTTTGAACCGCGGTCAACCTTTTCACAAGAAAGTTGGACCATCGGGGAAAGAGTGGATCGAGGGCGACAACGCCTGGCTTGATGCTTGTACCTGCACCACAGACTGCAACTGCCGGAAAAGCCACCGCGTACTATACCGTGCCCAGAACGATCCCCAGCACCATGGCAGCGACTCCAACGAAGACGAACAAGACCACCTTCGCACTAGCGGTGAGATCAGATACATACTGAAAACCGACCTGGGCCGAGACTGCGGCGATCACACAGCCTGCAAAAAGAGCAGCAGTGAAAGCGACAGCAGCAGTAGCAAAGACGAAAAGAGCAAAAGGAGAAAGAAGAAGACGAAGAGAAAGTCGGATGAGAAAGAAGATAAGAAGCGCAAAGACCAGTTCGACACACTTAAAGATGACATCTTGGAAGCGCTGCAAGATCTCAGGAAAGACAGTCGTCAACAACAGCAACGACGTCAGCGTGACAGTTCCGAAAGTCCCGCTAGACAACCTTTCGGCGGCCCGAACATGGGCCAGCGTGCTTTCATGATGAACAATGGCGGTGGTGGTGGTGGCATGGATATGGATCCGCGAATGGCACAGCAGATGGGCATGATGTCCGGTGATCCATACGGCACCACGGGTCGGATGCCACCTGGCATGGCTGATCCAACAGTGACGGGTGGTAAACGGGGTATGATGCATCATGGCATGGGTGGTATGGGCATGGGCATGGGTATGGGCATGGGAGGGGGCATGGAAAACGACATGTTGTCAGAAATGGACGACATGGGGCTAAACATGAACATGGGGAATCCGTATATGCAATCTGCCGGCGGCGGTCTCCTAGGCAAGAATGGAGGTATGCGGCACCCCTTCCTGTCGCATCGAGGGGCGGCCAAAGCAGGCAGGCAGTTCAATAATGGGGGCATGGGTATGGGCATGGATATGGATATGGATCAGATGGCGGCCATGTACGCCAAAGCCATGGGGGTTGGAGGCCGCGGAGGCATGATGATGGGCGGTGGACGCAATCGAGGTGGAGGAGGTAGACGAGTCCACTTGGACACATCGTCTGATGAGTTCGATCTCGGACCAGGACCTTCGATGCGGTCGTCAGGCATACGACATGAACAAGGCGGCGGCGGCGGCGGAGCAGGAGGAATCCGTGACCGGGCCGGTAAGTAAAAAGCCCCCGTCACCCACCTTTCATCATGATCATCATCATGGTCATCATTCCACCGTGATGTTTCTTGGGATACGTACAGTACAGCACACTAAATCTTGTTGCATTCTAGGGCGTGGCACCACCAGGAGACCAGGCGTTCAAGACAGGGATAGCCCGATCAGGCGTGACTTCGGTGCCAGTCCGCTTGGGAGGAGGGCCAACCTCATCAACAACAACAACGGCAGTCTGGATCGTGGCAAACAGCCCCGAGTTGATACAGATGACGACGATGCTTATTAGGAATGTGCAACACCTGGTCCTCCATGTGTGAGCAAAGCAGAGACGGCACGGAAACATTACTATAGTACGTACGTGTGTATGTCTCGGTCAATATTAGCCTGGTCAGACCAATCGTTGCGACGGAGCCAAATTTGGTCCTGTTCTTCTTCTTTTTATTTTAAAGCAGGGCGCGTCACGTTTCGCCCATAAGAGCGATCCAAAATGCGGTCAGAACGCCCTGTTTCGCGTGGTTGGGGCCTGGGTAGTGAAACATGTCGATCCGCGGGCGCGGACACACCCCCTCTCGTTGCTGTGGCAGGGGCGGGGCGGCCTGAGTTGGCTGCTGCTGGCAGATGCAGGCTGCGGTGCCGAGGAACGTGCAGCATCGGGCTTGCGCTTGCCTTGGCTTGGCTGCGTCTCTCGACATGACCAACCTCATAGTTGGCACGACCCGTGTCGACAATATCACGGCGCCCTGTCAGGTTTCCTCGGAGATGGCGAGAGGCGTCGAACTCACTTGTGTATGTTGGGCAGCCACAACTCATGCACCTGTGGCTCGATATGGCCGGTGTTGGGCATCACAATATAAGGGTATCAAGCCAGCATCCCTCGGAAGTGACCAATGACGAAAGTGACGCGCATCACCGATAAGCAGGAATATGCACAAACAAAGTCGTCATGTAGATGTTATGATTCGTTATTTTGAGCTGAGCTGACCTTACGCCTAAGATGAGCCGGGTTGAACCCGCCAGAATGCCCCATAGCAGCCGCCATGGGCAAAAATGGATCTCTCGTGAGACCGCCGTCGTGAAGACATGGGCGTGTATGAGATCTATCGTGAACGCACGTCCATTCCAAGTGTAGATCTTCCCGATCTGCTGTGTAGATGCCTACATGAATAAATACCGACCGACCAACTCCTCGCTTGTAACGCACAGGAAGTGAAGCAGAAACCAGGAAACAGGACTCCAAGGAAATGGAAAAAGAAAAGAAGTTCATGGTTGTCGACTGGCTGTAGCTGGGGGTGCTGCGCCATGTCGCGTAACTGATGCGCTCAGTGAACCATTTCGAGTGACCAAGTCGAGGAGATCCACCTCACTAGCCTCTACGGGGCGCACCAGCCGAGTCCGGTGGTAGCAAGGCCAGCGGCACTCGCAAGACGCTTACCCCGCTCATTGAGACTGAGGATCAGCAACTTCTTCTCGGCCCAGAAATTCTCGAAGGCGTTGATGTCATCTGCAGATATGGCGCCCGGGACACGCTTGGCCTCCTGCCACTCGGTCTCGACCTTGTAAGACTTGTGACGTAGACGCGGCAGGGCCTCGGTACGTAGGTGCGACAGCTCCGCGGCGTACTTGGCGTCGTGCGATCTAAGCGGCGTAGAGAAGGAGCGCTCACGTGAGCGGGAGAGCTCCGAGGGACCCAAGCAGATGGGTGAACCAGGGCACATGATCTGAGACACAGAGAAGGCTGGAGTGGAAGGAGAGGCGCTCCCTGACTGAGAAGCGGACGATGCGCTGGTGAGAGGCGAAGAAGTGTCAGACTGGAAGACGCTGCTGGCGTTGCTGACTGTGCGGAATTTTGGGGGCGGGAGCTCGTCGAGGTGGACCAGAAGCTCGTCTCCAGTGGCCCTGGGGTCGACTTGACTATCGTCAAAGTTGTCGAGGTGCTTGTCGAGACGCTCGAAGCCTGTTTTGGGTTAGTACGATATCAAGTGCCTGAGACGTATTTGGACTTACCAGTCAGAACAGCGGCACCCGCATGCTGAACATCACCGAGGCAGGACTGGACTTGCTTGGGAAGACGGTCCCAGAGCTCTTGGGGACAGTACCAGTGGCGGAGGTGAGAGGGGTCGTAGCTGAATGCATCACCGTCCTTGGGGCAGAAAGTGCGAGGAGCATCGACGTTGGAGGGAGTGCGTGAGAGGCAGGAGATGGTCTTGCGACTGGAGTTACGGCGGGATGTTGGGATGGGGTCGTGGTAGACAGGGTGGGGAGATAGTGGAGCAGCCATAGCGGCAACGAGGTAGGTTGAGTAGGTCTGTGTGGAGTCTTGGTCGAAGGAGAGTGGAGGGTGGAGTAGGATAGTGGGTAGCGGGAGCACTGCAGTGAGTGGCGCTGTCAAGACTCAAAGGAGCGTGAGTGATATTTGTAGAGAACGACGGGAATCTTCTAGACAAAAAGGTTGTGTGAGGTGGTGGAGGTGGAAGGGTGAAAGATCGCGGAAGCGCTGGTGATCGAAGGTGTTAGCGGAGTAAACAGGGCGCCGTGTGGAGTCGGCAGGGGTATGCGGGCACTTTGCGGGCGGCGTTGGTGCGTGAGCTGATGGTAATGGGAAAGTGCGGCCCCGGGACTTTCCCATATAGTCTGACGGGGCAGCTACGTCAATGGACAGTGAGAGCAGCTGCACGGGCGGTGCGGTCGGGGCGGGCGTGCAAGCACAGCGGCGCGGTGGTGAAGGGAGGGTTTGGGGCGGCAACGCTGTGGTTGGTGAGGCCAAATGCCCAGGAGCTTGACAGTCGAATTGCGGGCTACTGTGACGCAGGGAAAAGCGTTGTGCGTGCGCCGACCTTGCAAAAGGTGCTAGGGCACGACACCCAGACGCTCGGGATGATGGCCGCCCAGTCGCTGCACGGCATGCCCGCCACACTACGGCGCTGCAGCAGGCTCCCAAAACGAACTTGCTGGGCATGTCTAGAACCTGCGCCCGACGGTGCTGCTCCTCGTCTTCTGAGGTGGGCTGATGCAAAAAAAGGATAAAACCAGCCAACTTACATGATACGTCACTGGGCCGCCGCTTCCTTGTCTTCTCGGGCTGATCCGGAACCGGGCTGGCTTGGGGGCGAGGCGCAGGCTGAGGGATGCCGAAACCAGCCACACGCACTGAAACGGTGCGAGTGCGAGGCGAAGTGAGTGGGAGACGGCTCGAGGTCTGCTCCCAGACGGCTTTAGTATGCGGGTTTCAAGTCTGAACGTCAGCTGACTGAGGTACTTGGAGGCCGGCGCCTACTCACTGCAGTAGCGCAGCGATGGCTTTGGCGGGGGAAGTCGCGTTAGCCGAAGTCTCTGTCCAAGCGCAGAGCGGTACGGCGAGACGGGATGCGACGACGATGTCCTGGTGCGCGCTTTTGTAGCAGGGCGCGAATTTGGCCGCCGTGGGCTGTGTGCGGGCGATGGGAAAAATTTATCTCAAGGCGTCTGGTTCCGGCCCCACAAACTCTATCGCCCTCTCGATTGTGGTCTGCTTGTCGTCAGCACGCGTGCAACGACGTACGGTCCCTAACCAACGCGGATCGACCAAGGGGGAGCTGCAAAGGACGTAATCATGTTAGCAGACAGACAACAACCACAACCACACACGACACACGGCCAACGTGCTGCGCCCGCTCCTGGACTTCACATGCATGTCTCATGATAGTAGTATTACTAGTACTACCATGATTGTCTTGGTGTTGAGCGGGTATCCACGACGCGTCTGCACAGCCCGCACGCGTCCCAGGAAACCCCTCATCACAGTACATGACGCTTTGTTTGCCCTAGTTTTGGCGCGACGCATCGACTATTCCAACCTGCGTTGCGTATGGTTAGCATCATACTGAGACCTGTGGCATTCGTCCCACCTTTGGATCAAGTGCACCCCCGATGCCGTCTCGACCAGATCGCTCACCTCGCCCTTGTTGAGGGCGAAAGCAGCCTGCTCGAACTCCTTCTGCATGTCGCCCTTGCCAAAGAAGCCCCTGATGACGTTAGCGTTTCCCGCCGCATCTCCCACTGCAGAGACTCACAGATCGCCCCCCTTGCGAGCGCTGCTGCAGTCCGACTCGGTCGTCGCGAGTTCAGACAGAGACTTGGCGGTGTCGTCTTCCTGGCCCCTCTCGTACGCCTGTATTTGCTTCTGGTAGTCCCGTATCATCTCCCGGGCGTCCTCGACCGAGCGCGTAATCTTGGGCTCCCGCCAACTAGCCGGACGCCTGCTGTCGCGATGCTTGACGAGGAGATGGGCACATCGGATCTTGCCTTCAGTCGGCGCGAAGGCTGCGGGCGCAACGCCCTTGGAGCTGTGGTTGGCGGCCATGTATGCCTTGAGCTTGTCCGGATCGGTTCCAGCTGGTGGCTCCCATCGCGAGTCTTTCGTCTGGGCGTGGAAGTAGTATGGGAGGTTTTTGGTGTTGGAGCGGCGCACCTCCCATCCCTCGGGGAGACCAGTTTCGGCGGACGACTAGGATGCGTGAGGGGGTGCGAGGTGGGTTGGGACGACGGGCGCAGTGCTTACCATGGTTGCTGGCGATGTATGCGTGACGCTGGACGGAGTAGGCTGTGGTAGGGGGAGGGCGAGCAGTGCAGAGGTTGATAGGAGTCTCCGCACGGGCAGTTGTGCGTGCAGCGTGGAGCGACGTCTAGAATTGCAGGCGGTGGACAGGGCGATCGGCGCCTCAAGGTCGATAATGCGGGGGCGCCTGCCAAACAAAGAACGCGGCTCTGCTACAGCAACGGAAGCCGCGCGAATCAAGACGGGTGGCCCGCGCTCGCCGACGTGACTCTGTCTCTGTACCTACCCAACTTTTGTGCGCCGGCTTCCTCGACGCTTTTGTCTCTTCACACGCGCACAACAGCCGTCACGACGATCCACACGCACACGCACATTTACGATTTACGACCTCACGTCCACTCAGCATGGCTTCACCAGCAGCGCAAATGGGCGGCTCCAAGGGCGGCAAGGAGCCCATTCTCTTCCGCTTCTG